TTTGGGACGGATGAAAAAAGGCTCGACTGGTTTTCGCCAACTTGCATCACTTATGGCGTTGGCGAGATATCTATCAACCAACCAAAGGAAGGGTTCACTATGCAACAGTTCGCTCCATCCTACTTTATGGCTGTGAAACATGGCCGGTAAAAGTAAGGATATTCTTAGGTTACTAGTATTTGACTGACGGTTTCTCTGAAGCACTGCTCCCACATCCTGGTGGTATCGAGTCATCATTCGGGGTGTAAAAAGTATTTGATTCTGACCAATTTGGTCTCGCGTGCTGTTACGGGAATGAGGGCGGTTGTCACTTCCCGGCTGCCTACACCATGGAAGGGTTTTTCTTGAGGAACCTGAAAAGGAAGGTGGATTAGAGTTGGTCTTAGAGACCTGGTTGCGTGACCGCAGAGCCCAAGGGACAACTGCTTGAGGCGGGTCACGCACGGCCTTTGTATGAGAGGTTTTTTGCGTATTAGCTCCACTCTTAAAAGCCCATATTGGGCACCCTTACTGCCGGAGACGGAAATCCGTGAGGTAGGGTGAGGTGTGACATTTTTAGGGTCGACCTATTCTAACCCTTCCTTCTTTGTGAGAAGGCAGCATCGCTGCAGATGTTGGTTGTGCGAGGGAAACACCTTACTGCTGTCACACCCCTCTGCAGTCAGCAGTACGACTTCGCCCTCAGACCTTGAGTAGCTGCTTTTAGTCTCATCGTTCTCCAATCGACCTGCCTGGCATGGTAGAACATTCAGGAACATATGTTGCAGCCAATATAGCTCGGTTGGGTTATCACGATAGTCAAGCCCGACCACCACGTCAAGGTAGCAGCTATGGTCGGGTCATCATTGCTGTTGTTGGGAATGTTATTTAAGTATTCAGATCAATAGATGAAGTAGTGACAATTATTGTTCGGACACATATTACGAATGCCCAACGAACGACTTCTTCGACGAGCTATGTTTTCGGTATGGAAGTAGGCTGGAATAAAGCTACGGGCGCCCAGTGTAAGACATATAATCAATCCATTAAATCACTTACAAGTGAACTGAGCTATGTTGGTAGGTGTACACTGCCAGGTAGTTGTCCGCGAGATAATATTAACCGTTGTTTACAGAACTTGAATGACATGGCTCAACATCGTTTGCATTGGCAGAGGTGTATCCATTCTTTGTATTCTCTCAAATTTCAATGACTTGCATCTTTCTCTTTGAAGTTTATTGCACTGGTTTATACTTCTTGAATAATATCTTCGAACTCTGATCTTTCTAAAAACTGCTCATACCTCTATTCGCTCTATCACTATGGGATTCGAATCGGTAATTGCATGTGTCTTTTATGGGTACTTGAACGGATGTACGGAGTTCTAGGTTGCTGCTGACTGACTATCTGAGCTAGTGTCCACATATGCTGATATCTAAAAGCATTCATTACACACTATGTAATTATTTATTTAGAATGTGATTGACACCAGTTAAATGAATACTATCACTGAAATAGTTATGATTTTCAGTTCACAAGAAAAGTTCTATGATTTTATTCAAATAACGTCTTTGTTGAAAAACGCTCAAACAATTAATCAATCCGTTAGGATCATTAATTTTAAATATTAGAAAACAATACTTCACTCAGTTTATGTCATTTTATAAGTTGAGACTATCACAACATGTTGCTTCCAAAATTATTCCATTCATATAATGACTATCACATAATATCGTTTTTATCAAACTTTCCATTTTCAATTCTAAAATTCTTTATACTTGTTTTTCATTTAAATAGATAAACTGCACTGTAATGGTATATTTTTAGCGCATAGTCGGAGATAATCCTAAACACTTAAAATATACTGTGGTAAAAATTAATACTATATTCCTTTGTGCATAATTGTTTTGTGACTACGCGAATTGATGTAGGCTTGACTGGGTTTGAACTTGTAACGCACTATTTGAAACTTGAGTACTATTTGATCAAAATATTTTTCTTCAGAAAATGCGTACACACGATTATTTAAGTGGTTAATTTATTTAAAACAAACTCGTAGAATGTTCATAAAAGGGCGACTAATAATAAGCCATGTGTAGATGGCATTACTTTATATGCAGCTAGAGAACAAACAATTTGTGATATATATATATAGAAGAATATCATCCTTTCCGGTATAAAGCAGCATACACAATTCTCAATTAATGACTAATATGATTATCTTATATTACTAAAAGTTATTTAATAAACAGTTGTAACTGAATGAGATGCTAATTATCAACGGACAATGGGTTGATTGATCTATCCTAAAATGTTTGAATATTGTTAATATCTGAAAACATAAGTAATTTAAAAATGCGAAATACAACTTGAAGTTATAAGTTATACAGTATAAATGAAGAAAGGAATAAGCCTATAGTTCCACAAAGAGCCAGACATTGTACGAACGATTACGACACGTCTCATTGCATTTATCAATGTAGATGTAAGTGTAGACATAGGGCGGAGTAATTGGATAAGGCAATCAAGGGTTATGGAAACACAAGCTTGGATGGCTTCAAACAGGTTAACTTCAAATGGTCCGATCAACGTCGGAAATGAACCATGTGTATCTATAGCAAAACAGATAATCGAAACAGGGCGTAGAATCGACATCAAGATAGCCTTGAAAACGTAGAAATTCCCAATGATGAATCCCTAAATTCATAAAAGCCTTGGCTTATCGAAAACTCAAACTCCACCTGGAGCCTCCTCTGGGGCTACTGCCGGTCCCAAGTCTAGATAAAGGAGCGGGGTCGGACTTGGTATTTGCGACGCCATCCCATAGAAAACTAACTCGCCAAAAAGCGCTAACCGGAAAGAATAAATCAAATTATCTAAACTCTGAAATGGGAATTACGTCTTTAATCCTAATAGTTATGAAGTTTCATGAATAAATCCCAGTTTTTTGGGATGTCACGAGGCCGACGCCTCTTCATCAACTATGACAAAGCATTTGACAGCGTGGACAGGACAACCCTATTGAGAATCCCTCAACATAACGGCGTGCCTAATAAGATAGTCAAAATAATGCGGAATTCTTATGATGGATTAAACTGCAATATCGTGCATAAACCACAGCTGATGGACTCGTTTGAGGTGAAGACCGGTGTCAGGCAAGGTTGCTTACTCCCACCCTTTCTCTTTCTCCTGGTGATCGATTGGATTATGAAGAGGTCAATATCTAGAGGGAAGCATGAGATCCAATGGACAGCCAAAGTGTAGCTGGATGATCTGGACTTCGCAGATGATCTGACTCTTAAATCACACACGCAACAACAAATGCAAGAGAAGACGACCAGTGTAGTAGCAGCCTCAGGTCTCAGAATACATAAAAGGAAAAGTAAGGTTCCTCGATACAACATAGTATGCGCCAACCAAATCACATTTGATGGAGATGTCTTGGAGGACTTAAAAACCTTTACGTATCTGGGCAGCACCATTGACGAGCAAGGTGGGTCTGATGCAGATCTGAAAGCGCGGATCAGCAAAGCAAGGGCTGCATTTATATAACTGTAGAACATCTGGAACTCAAAACAATTGTCAAAAAACCCAAAATCCAAATGTTCAATACAAATGCCAAGACAGTTCTACTGTATGGAGTCAGTCAGTCAGTTGCAACGTAGAACTTCGTACGTAAGTACATCAGTTCATGTCGCCATACCACATCAGCACAGAGATATAATTGTCAATTCAAATCCAATAGTAGAAGAGGTAGTAAAGGTATTAGAAGTAATCGGAGGGGTTAGAATTAGAAGATATTATTCACGAAGTATGATTCAATGAGATAAGTTTAGAAAGTAAAAACTAGAGGTGTTGAAGAACTCAGAAGATTAGGATTTGAGAGAACACAAAGAATAAATGCACCGGCGCCATTGCGAACGATTTTGAGCCATGTCATTCAAGGTCTCTAGCCATCGATTATTATCATCTCGCGGACCCCAACCAGGTAGTCGACAATTACCGACATGGCTAAGTCCACTCGTCAATGACTTCATGGATTTCTGCCATGTTTTGGTCTGGCCGCCCCTAGCTTTGGAGTGGAAACTTAGGAAACTACGAAAGCCATCATCCAGAAGATACAAGTGTTTATAACAGTTGTCTACGCATATTACTTCGAATCCGTTGTCCAGACACCATCAGCAACAACGTACTGTGGGAGAGAACAAAGCAGATTCCAGTGGAGGAGGAAATCAGGAAGAAGCGCTGGAAGTAGATAGGACACGCATTGAGGCAAACACCCAACTGCGTCACAAGACAAGTCCTCACTTAGAACCCTCAAGGTCAAAGGAAGAGAGGAAGGCCAAGGAACACATTACGCCGAGAAGTGGAGACAGACATGATAAGAGTGAATGAAAATGGGACAGAACTTGAAAGGGAAGCCCAGCACAGAGTTGATTGAAGGATACTTGGTCGGCGGCCTATGCTACATTGGGGGTAACAGGCGTAAACAAGTAAGTACGTCTCCTGTTACATAAATACACTATCCACGTGTGATTTGTCGTTTTCTAACCAGCAAAATCGTTATATAAAATAAGTAATTTTGTTTATTGAATTACTGCAACTCATATTATGACAACTAGACCAATTTTATCTAAATATGAACCAAATAGTTCAGTCCTAATTTAGTGTCCGTTTTTACCGACTACACCTCTTTGTAGAATATCTTCCCTGTAATCATATAAGCAGTAAATCTATGTTTATGTTACCTATGACTCAAATCAGCATTCATAAGTAGTTGTAGCTGTTTAAACAGCTTCACATCATTGGGTAGGGAGTCTGTTTTCTCAATTGAAATGTTCCTGTTTAACCGCTTCCGGAAATAAGTACATTGTGGCAGTCTATTTTTGAGGATTAAGTTCAGTATAGAAAAACTATCTACAAAGGTGTTATATTTATCACGTGTTCAATGCAGATCACTAATCCTCAGATTGCACTAACGCCTTATGGTGACTGAAGATCATGATTAAGACTACGTTACATCACAAAAATTATTAATTGGTATTTTATTTCATTTAGCGCAAAAGGTTAACAGGATGAATTTTGAAAGAGAAGTAAACTCAAAATCTTAAAGTAGTATTTATGGTAAGATTAGAATTTAATGTTTCCGATCTCATACATATAACAACATATAACAAATAGTAGTACTATAAACCAAACATTTATATAGTGTTATAAACATAGATAATGAGAGAAAATAAGAGTAAGTTTTTATTATGCTAGAGGTTGTACTTTTTTATCACGCTACTGACTTTGATGAGAAATGGAAATAATCAATTAACTAATTGCGGAATTTTCGGCTTTCATTTACTCCGAATAAAATTTCGCGTAGTTGTGGCATTAAACGTTCACTGATTTGATCTAAACGACTTTCCAGTGTGTTTACTACCTTGATACGACCATCTTTATTGTAAAGTTCGATTCCACCAGCACTATATTGAAAAAAAATCTAACAGTTCATTATTCGGGTGTATTTAACATTATAAATAAAACCATAGTTAGCACGAAAGTAATAATAATAAACTAATGAGTCTCATATCCAATCAGGTTTGGACTACATAACCACATACGTATTCAAAACAAAAAGTAAACTAGTTATTTAGAAGGGGGAATTCACTCCAAATACAAAACAAATAACATACTTGTCTTTTATGTATATTTTGATAGAAACAGGTAAGCACTAATATTATTAGTAATATCAATCATCTTGCATAATCAGATCGCATACAAGTAAAAATTATGGATTTTTATTCAGGCAGTAGCATTATATCTATTGAAGACATTCATTATTATTAGTAATTTCTATATACTATTGGACAAAAGAGACAAAATACTATACGTTAACTTGTTAAATGGAATCAAAACAAGAGTAATGATCGACAACAGCTAAACCGAAGACTTTGGAGATGGACACATAAGTTATCATTCAAATACAAAAGAACGTCAACTACAACACTTATAGATCTACCTGTTGGTATTTGGCAAGAACATCACAGAAATTAGACCTTGCTGATTAATTATGAAGGCTAATCAAATTATTCATTTAACGCAACTCAGTAACAATGCACACACAAGCATACGCTGTTTGAGTCAAACATTTAGTGTGGAGGCTAATAACACTATTTGGCTGTGCATTATAAAGTAGATTGACTGGAGCTAGGAACAGTATATCACTGGTAGACTGAAATATATTTGTCCATTTTGAGTTCAGTTTTTTAAGCCTAATTTGTGCATAAATGATAGCTTACTACTAAAGTGTAAAAGTAACCGGAATTAACTTACAGGTTATTAGGTAAACAGTTGCTATCAATCGTGACTCTGCAATCGGTCCTCGTCTGATTTCGATAAGTGGCAACACATCCTGGTAGAAGATTCTAAGGTTATAAATGAGAAAAGCTGCAGGTTGACTGAAAGAATAATGATAATTAATAGCTATATCGAAGATATAATTCAAGGAGTATAAACCAGTGAAAGAAAAGTCATGGAGGACTCTGAAGCTTAGAGTACGGGGAAGGACAAAGAACTGATGCGTCTGCGCTATTACAAGCAATTTTGAACCCTGTTATCCAAATTCTCAAACCAACGGTTACAGTTGTCATGCAGAACTCGACCAAGTAGTCTGCACACATCAAATACTAATAACCTAAGAATATCCTTATTTTTACCGGCAATGTTTCACAGCCATAAAGTAAGACGGAGCGAACTGTTGCATAGTGAACACATATGCAATTACCGATTCGAATCCCATAGTGATAGAGCGAATAGAGGTATGAGCAGTTTTTAGAAAGATCAGAGTTCGAAGATATTATATTCAATGCAATAAACTTCAAAGAGAAAGATGCAAGTCATTGAAATTTGAGAGAATACAAAGAATGGATACACCTCTGCCAATGCAAATGATGTTGAGCCATGTCATTCAAGTTCTGTAAACAACGGTTAATATTATCTCGCGGACAACTACCTGGCAGTGTACACCTACCAACATAGCTCGGTTCACTTGTAAGTGATTTAATGGATTGATTATATGTCTTACACTGGGCGCCCGTAGCTTTATTCCAGCCTACTTCCATACCGAAAACATAGCTCGTCGAAGAAGTCGTTCGTTGGGCATTCGTAATATGTGTCCGAACAATAACTGATGAATTGTCACTACTTCATCTATTGATCTGAATACTTAAATAACATTCTCAGCAACAGCAATGATGACCCGACCATAACTGCTACCTTGACGTGGTGGTCGGGCTTGCCTATCGTGATAACCCAGCCGAGCTATATTGGCTGCAACATATGTTCCTGAATGTTCTACCATGCCAGGCAGGTCGATTGGAGAACGATGAGACTGAAAGCAGCTACTCAAGGTCCGAGGGCGAAGTCGTACGGCAGACTGCAGAGGGGTGTGACAGCAGTAAGGTGTTTCCCTCGCACAACCAACATCTGCAGCGATGTTGCCTTCTCACAAGGAAGGAAGGGTTAGAAAACGTCGACCCTAAAAATGTCACACCTCACCTTACCTCACGTATTCCCGTCTCCGGCAGTAAGGGTGCCCAATATGGGCTTTTAAGAGTGGAGCTAATACGCAAAAAACCTCTCATACAAAGGCCGTGCGTGACCCGCCTCAAGCAGTTGTCCCTTGGGCTCTGCGGTCACGCAACCAGGTCTCTAAGACCAACTCTAATCCACCTTCCTTTTCAGGTTCCTCAAGAAAAACCCTTCCACGGTGTAGGCAGCCGGGAAGTGACAACCGCCCTCATACCAGTAACAGTACGCGAGACCAAATTGGTCAGAATCAAATACATTTTACACCCCAAATGATGACTCGATACCACCAGGATGTGGGAGCAGTGCTTCAGAGAAACCGTCAGTCAAATACTAGTAACCTAAGAATATCCTTACTTTTACCGGCCATGTTTCACAGCCATAAAGTAGGATGGAGCGAACTGTTGCATAGTGAACCCTTCCTTTGGTTGGTTGATAGATATCTCGCCTACGCCATAAGTGATGCAAGTTGGCGAAAACCAGTCGAGCCTTTTTTCATCCGTCCCAAAATTCTGTCACAAACCAGGCTATCAGCACTGACAAGAGTGCCGAGATAAGTTAAGCGGCCAAGACGCTCAACTACCTCACTCCCCATCACCAGACCACACTCCGACGCAAGCCAATCCTGAAGCAACATTTTGCATTTCGAGGGGATAAGTCGCACACCCAACATGCTTGAATTATTGCTTACGATGATCAGAAGACTATGCATTTTGTCAGCGTCTTCACCGAACAGAACTATGTCATCGTCATATTGTAAGCGAACGAGTAAATCTCCTGGGTAGAAGGCCAACTTCCGATAAGTCAAACGATGAAAGTGTCGTTTCTAAACGCATGTCAATGACAAAGTTGGATAAGGATGGAGAGAGTGGACAGCTCTAACGAACACCACTTGAGGTACTCAATTCCGATGACAGTTCACCATAAGCCTTAACTCGACGAGCGGTGTTCGAGTAGAGAGCTCGTATAAGGTTAATGTACTCCTTTGGTACACCTTTTAATGAGACACGATCCACAGAGTCAAATGCCACCTTAATGTCCAGGAAGACAGCTATTGTGGGACGCCTAAATGTGTGTCTGTGTTCCAGGATCTGTGGTAGAGTGAAAATGTGGTCTTTAGAGCCAAGTTTAGGTCTGAAACCAGCCTGGTTCTCTCTAGTCTGCTCTTCACGAGATCTAGTTAGGCGTCTAAGGATTATCGAGGCTAACAATTAAGAAACTATATTAGTTAGAACACTACCTAGAGTAGGCATAAGTGAAGAAGCAGTTTGTAGTATAATATGTGCTACTGATAAATATATGTTTGACTACACCCACCATTTGATCATAGATAACTGGGACGGGACAGTAACCTAATTGGTGATTTGGTAGAAAACATTTGGCAGGCATTACAAGTTCCTTAATGGGAGCTGTGGAGGACTTACATCAATTTGCCACTCAGGTTGACTGGAAATCGTGGGTAACTGAAGTGCAGCTGAAGGCCAGCTCACCTACTTCTAAAGTCTTCTTCCCATCGATCCAATCTCCAGGACTGAGAAGGAATGGTAGTTCTATATTTTTCCAAGACAGTTCCGCTAACAGTTAGATTCCTAATACCAGTTTCTTTGATAATTCTGCCATTCAGGTTGTTCGGAGATGGTGGGTAACTGAGGTGTGACTGACGGACAGTTTTCTGTCTATCAGTTTAATCTCCTGTGTTGCGAGTGAATAATAGTCTTGTTTTTTCCGAGATAGCTGATGGTAAAGCGGTCTATTTTGAGGATCGCTACGTCAAAAGTTGCTTTTATTAATGCTTAAAGTCGTTATACACTGGAAATAGACGTCTACTTGAGCACAGTTGCAGCGGATAGTTACCATTATCTGTTCGATGAGCCGCGACATCATAAAGTCCACTCAGGTATGTTTCCTTATCGCTTAGTCTACCTACTCATGCATTAAAATCACCAGCCACTAGTACTACATCAGTGCTTAACTTTTTCAAGAAGACAGGAAAGCTTTCTGTAAAACTCATCTTTTACCTAATTTTGGCTCCAATCAGTCGAAGCGTAAGCAGAGAAGACGAAGAAGCAACGGCGTGTGTCCTTATCTTTCCGAGTCCGTATCGTCCCGTCTAGTCGGACAGCGCATAAGAGACTGTCTATCGGGATCTAGTCTAGGAGAGCTAGTTTTGCCCTAGGACCTAATACTATACCTACGCCGGTGAGACCACGAGAAGCGGCATCAGGGCTTCTAGAGACACGAAGCGTTGTGTCTCTATGTGCACTATGTGAGGTCAAATTGATGATTTTACTCGGATCTTGTATATGCGTTTCGGAGACGCAACATTCATTGATCACCTGGGATTCCAGAGTTCTAGCTAATGAAGCCCGTTGCCCTATTTGGCATAAGGTTCGAACATTAAAAACTCCTTCATGTAATTTAGCACGGGGTTTCAAGAGACCACGAATAATGTTTCGTGAGCTCATACCGTTTGCTTCAGTGGCGTGAGGTGATAAACGATCGAACGAAGGGTTGGTCGAGGAGATAAGAGAGTTATTAAGATGTGTAGAAAGGATTTGATTGTCTACTGGGATCTAGTCTACGAGAGCTAGTTCTGCTTTCGAACTTAATGCTAAAGGTACACTAGCGACGCCAAGGGAAGCAACAGTGGGGATTCCAGATACGCGAAGCGTAAATCGAGCCGGTTCTTTATTTCGATGTGGTAAGGTCAAATAAGACTGTACTCGTATCTTGTATTCACATTTCGGAGATGCAGCATACATCGATTGCGCGAGATTCTAAAGTTCTAGCTGAGGGAGCTTGTCGACCCATTTAGTACAAGATTCGAACGCTGAAAGCTCCGATGTCTAGTTTAGAGTGGTGTTTCAAGAGATCAGGAATAACATTTCGTGCACTCGAATCATTAGCATTAGCAGCACGAGGTGAAAAAGATATGTGAGAAGGGAGAAAAATTATTCAGAGGCAAAGGAAGGATTTTATCACGAACAAGTTGATCTCGTGTGCTCTTATGAGTATGCGGGCGGCTATCCCTTCTCGGCTTTCATCACTGTGAAAGATTTCTTCTTCAATAGTCTTAATAGGGAGCTCCGTTAGTGTTGGTCTTAGTGATCTAGAAGTGTAACCACAGAGACTAAGGTTCAGCTACCCCAAAATGGTCGCGCTCGGCCTTTTTATGGGAAGTGAGCTCCGCTCATGAAAGACCTTACCGCTGGAGAAGGAAACCCGTAGGATAAGAAAAGGTCTGGCAATTTTACAGTTAACCTCTTCCAACTTTTGTTTTTGTTGTGAGAAGGTAGCATCGCTGCAGATGCTGATTGTCTGAAGGAAACACCTTACTGTTCTGTCACGCTCCTCTACGTTCAGCAGTACGATTTTGCTACTTTTAGTCCAACCGTTCTCCAATCAACTTACCTGACATGGTGGGACCTAAAGGATTATGCGTTCCAGTCAATATAGCTTGGTTGAGTCTTCACGATAGACAAGTCCAACCACTACGTCATGGTGGCAGCCATAGTCGGGATACTGTAAGCAACTTATTAATTAAGTTTACCTCGGACAACCAGTATCTGCAGCGATGCTGCCTTCTCACAAGGAAGGAAGGGTTAGAAAACGTCGACCCTAAAAATGTCACACCTCGCCCTACCTCACGGATTTCCGTCTCCGTCGGTAAGGGTGCCCACTAAGGGCTTTCAAGAGCGCAGCTAACACTCAAAAAACTTCTGATAAAAATGCCGTGCGTGACCGGCCTCAAGCAGTAGTCCCTTGGACTCTGCGGTCACGCACACAGGTCATTAAGACCAATACTAATCTATCTTCCTCTTCAGGTCCTTCAAGAAACAACCCTCGGTGTGGGAAGCCGGGAAGTGACAACCGCCCTTATACCCGTAACAGCACACGAGACCGAATTGGTCGGAATCAAATCCTCCAAAAAGTTAGGCGCTCTGAAACAGTAATAATGGCTGGTGACTAATGCTCAAGGAGGTAGTCTAAGTGAGCAGGAAAGATACCTGGGTGGACGTTATGGTGTCGCAGCAAATAGAACAGACAATGGCGACTGCCTGATAGAGGACTGTCGCTCGTTCTGGGGCACAAGTTTAGATTCAGATCATGCCCTAGTGCGAGCGCGTATTTGTTTGAGGCTTACTGGACGTAGGAAAGACACCGGTAAGGAAGCTTCTCAGGGTTTTGCTTAATGATAATCAAGCGAAGAAAATATTTCAGGAGCAACTAGAAAGAGAGTTAAGCAACGATGTAAGTGGTTCCCACCCAGAAGCAGGTTGGTATGATATCAAAAAGGCTGTGGAAACAGCAGTGATATCTGCTAGCAACGTAAACCATAAGCCTAGGAAGAAGCCGTGGATTTCAGTCGCATCCACCGAACTGATGTGTGCTCGAAAACTCATCGCACCTGACTCTGAACATGACGAAGAGCGAAGTCAGCTTAGGCGCAGACTGATTAAAAGCCTACGTAGCGACCGCGAACAGTGGTGGGTGGCGAAAGCAAAAGCTATGGAAAAGGCAGCGGCGATAGGCAACACTAGACAACTTTTCCGCCTTATCAAAGAAACCGGCATTAGGAACACGAATGTAAGTGAGACTATTTCGGAAAAGAATGATCTTATTATCCATTCTCAATCCAGGAGATTGGACCGATGAGCAGAACACTTTAGGGATCAGTTCAACTGGCCTCGAGCCACACTTCGATTACCCACGATCTCCAGTCATCCTGAATGGCAAATCGGCGTAAGTTCACCGACTCTTTATGAATTTGTGAAAGCGATAGAAAATCTGAAGCGAGAGAGAGCAGCGGGTCCTGATAGACTGACCCGTGAGATATTCAAGGATGTTGGTCCAGTTTTAACAGTTAGACTGACCGAGATCTTCGGTAGAATCTGGGAACTGGACGTAATACCATCCGAGTGATCCCAATCACTGACCCAATCTACATGAAAGGACAAAAGTCCTCTTGTGACAATCACAGAACAATAAGTCTAACTAATACAGTTTCTAAACTGTTAGCCTCGATAATCCTTAGATGCCTAACTAGAGCTCGTGAAGAGCAAACTAAAGAAAACCAGCTTGGTTTCAGACCTGAACTTGGCTCTACAGACCACATTTTCACTCTACGACAGGTCATGGAACACACACACACACTTAGGCGTCCTACAATTGTTGTGTTCCTGGACCTTAAGGCGTCATTTGACTCAGTGGATCGTGAGGTTCTGTGGCAGTGTCTGTCATTGAGAGTTATATCAAAGAAGTACAGTAACCTCATACAAACTCTCTACTCGAACACCACTGGTCGAGTGAGAGCTTATGGCGACCTGTCATCGGAATTCTTTACTTCGAGTGGTGTCCGTCAGGGATGTCCACTCTCTCCATTCTTGTTTAATTTTATCATAGACATGCTCCTAGAAATAACCTTATCGTCGTCTGAATTTTCAGGAGTACACCTTCTACCAGGTTGCTCGCTTATTGACTTAGAATATGCCGATGACATAGTCCTACTTGGTGAAGACGCTGACAAAATGCAGAGACTTCTGACCACCCTAAGCAACAATGCAGGCTTATTCGGGATGCGATTCTCGCTGTCGAATCGCAAAATGTTGCTTCAAGATTGGGTTGCAACGGCATCTGAACTAGTGATAGGGAGTGAGGCAGTTGAGCACGTTGACCGCTTCATTTATCTGGGGAGTCTCATCAGTGCCGATGGCCCGGTGACTGACGAAATCTCAGCTCGGATACAGAAGGCTCGTTTGGCTTTTGCCAACTTGCGTCACTTATGGCGTAGGCGAGATATCCGTTTGCTGACTAAAGGACGAGTGTACTGCGCAGTAGTTCGCTCCGTCCTACTTTATGGCTGTGAAACATCGCCGTTAAGAGTAGATGTTCGTAGGTTGCTAGTATTTGATCATAGATGTCTCGTGTATCTTGGGACAACCGAGTAAGCAACGCTGTCGTTAGAAAACGAGTACCAGGTAAGAATGGCAGATCAATAGATGAAGTGATGAAACTTCATCAGTTGAGGTGGTTGGGACATGTGTTACGAATGCCTAACCACCGACTGCCTCGACGAGCTTTGTTTTGTGGTGTAGGAGTAGGTTGGAAGAAAACTAGGGGCGGCCAGACCAAAACATGGCAGAAATCGATGAAGTCACTGACAAGTGAACTGAGTCATGTTGGTAGATGTAGGCTATCTGGTTGGGGTCCGCGAGACGAAAGTCACCAATGGTTAGATGCTCTGAATGACATGGCTCAAAACCGTTGGCAATGGCGCAAGTGCATCCATTCGTTATGCTCTCCCAAATCCTAATCTTATGGATTCGTCAGCACCTCTACCTTTGTCTTTCTAACCTTATCTCACTGAATTATACTTCTTTAATAATATCTTCAAACCCTCGTCTTCTTCATTACTATTAATACCTATACTATCTTTATCACTATGGGATTTGATTTGACATTTGCGTCTCTGTGCTAATGTGGTATGGCAACATGAACTTATGTACATGCGTACGAAGTCCTACATTGCAATTGACTGACCTACAAACTAGATGGTAATTAAGATGTTGGACTTAAAAGCAACTGTTTTTTACATTTATACTTGTGGGTTGACTACGCAGAAGCATATATATGAAACGATACTCTTGGAGGAATGAAGACATACCTGTATTAAATCACGGTCAACTTCACGGCATCTGATAATGACTTCTGGTTCCAGTAACTGGAAAAGCCCCTGTAAACATAAAATGAGAAAATTTTGAAAATCTGGTATACTAATTCAATGTGCTTGATATTTTTATTACATCTACTAAATTTTTTGATTTCGAGTACATCAATATGTCAAGCTTTTATAATGCATAACCCGAGACGCTCCGGTACGGTCAGGAGTAAGGATAGTCCCCTCTCCCTCTCGAATTGCTCTCATACAGCTACGAGTATAAAGCTACTATCGGAGAAGTTTTACTCACTCGCTCACTCAGCGGCAGTGTTGTTTACGATATTGTGATGACGAAAACTGAACCTCCCGCGCTTAGAATGAATTAGTGGGTACGAAGGGATCATCTAGGAAAGTTAGAAAACCCTGATTTCAAAACAATGGTGCACATGGGCTCTAAGATCCAGAAGGGAATAAATGGCGTGTGAACCTATCATTGATCAGCGGCTATAAAGGCTAACGTCGCTCCACTGCCTTATGGACTAGATCGGTGTTTTGAAAGCTCATGAGGCAGACCCTTAAGACCGCTTGCTTCAGTCTGGGAACCCTGATAGTATCGTAGTCTACACAAAGTTATTGATTTGTATGGTGTATAGATATCTAGGTACCCCTTTGTATTATTGCGCTTAAGTAAATAAATGGAGACAACTCACACTTATAGGCTGAATACTCATGTTAGGCAAAACTAAGTGCAAAACTTTTTAATTCCCTTTGAAAGGCTTGAGAATTCTGACAATGAAAGAAAAGTGAATACTGTTTCCTTACTATAATAGATAATGAAGTACACTAACTTATTATAAAATACGAGTAGAGGTAGTAAGAAATAAAAGGTGAGTCTTGATTATCTCATCGTAACAGTGGTCGTATACGTTTTACCAACAACTGTGCTTGAACACTCCCAGTCACACAAAAGCTTACATTGAATTTAATCGTCAGCTTAGTACTACTGTGTACTTTCTATTCCCTAATCTCATGTGAATTTTTCAACCGCTTTCTATCCTCAGTTCAGTACCATTGCCCTTTTCCGACTTCATACAATCTATCGTACAATTGTATTAGAAAAAAACTATTAAGTTCTGAAAATCGTCAGAGTTCATTAGACGACAACACGCGAATCGTTTAAAATGTGGAAAAGCAGGAACAAAGTTTTACCATACTTTGTTATATCGATCTTACACTGAGTTTCTATTAGTAAGAAGTGGCTTGATGAATGTAAATTGCTACATATAAGATCTTCTTAAGTTTTATCACAAGAAAACGAAAATAGACGTAAGTTTTCGGTAAAAACATACTGATAAGGAACAAACTAATGAAAAAATTTACTTCTAAGATAAGTCCGGATAGACATTTTTGATAAATATCTCGATCTCTGGTAACCATACGTAAACGTTCTTGGGCTTCCTTGAGCAACATCTAACGAAGTTATGTGGTTTATGAGGCATACTTCAATATGGTTTTCTCTGCTTTGTAAGACTTTGAGACGAGACTGATTTTTTAGGTTAGAATCCTGACTAAATGAAAGCATAAGCGCCGTAAAACGAATACAAACATACATTTTTTTGGTCAGTTCTATTTGCTTTTCTTTCTTTGAATAGTACTCCATAATTTTGAGTCGCTGGTTTTGGACCAAACGAGACTTTTCGATTTGAAACTCTTCTTCCGCCTAACAAGTTTATAATATCACGACAAAAAAAGTCATACTTTAGCATCTATTTCTTCCACCTTTTCTCTAGCTTCCTGGTCTATAAAGGCCATCATGTGGCGTATCTTGACAAAGTTATGAATAAAAAGCATTCTTTCAGGTTACCTGACGTTGCACTTCCGTATCATTTAACGTCATACTTGTATTTAGCAAGGTTACTACAAGAACCGGAACGAATTTTATAACAGCCGCTGAATACAATATCTCCAATATCCAATATCTTTTTCATGAGCCAGTATAAAACAGTTGATTTCTTTGCGCTCGATTTTTGTTCTTTCGTTACGGTTCCAGGTGACCGATAATGTCCAATGTATGGAGGTCTAGCCGCTCGACTGTCTAATTCTAGTCAGTTGGCAGTTTGCTGTGAGTTTGTATGTCTCGGGATTTGAATGAAAACGTTTGTTTCAGGACATTAGGGTTTCTGGGTACCCGCAGATATCACATTACCAGACCGGAGATTAGTTAGTTGCAATGTGGAGAGTAATAGGGATAATAAGGATAAAATTCTAATAAATAAAATTTCAGAAGTAATATTAAGGCCCATAGTGTAAGCAAGGGAGAGGAAACAGAAATAAGAGGCGAGATAGATTAAGTAAGTGACCTAAGTAGATGGCAATAATAACAACTAGCAGGTCTCAAGATATGCATCATGAACAGCTTGTCCAAGAGGGAGATGAGAGTCCGTATGTGAGTACGTGATTATCAAGTCTCTTCTTAAAGCAGTCCACTGAGGGGCTGGGTCACCTCGGCTGGGACAGCATTGGAAGTTGCAACGACTCGCAATGAGAAAAAGTGTGCACGAATCTGAGTATTTGCTCTTTGATGTGCAATCTTTCGAGGATTGTCTCGAGGGGAGTGGTGGTGATGCATCGGTAAGATGCTCACATTGGGATGGTTTGGCGCGTTTAATATGGTGTACGCCATAATCAGGTCACCTCTGATTCTCCTGTAGCTCACTGGGAATAATCCCAAGAGATGGAGTCTGTCGTCGTAGTGTTTATTTTTCAACCCTATCACCCATTTGGTTGCTCGTCTCTGCACTCGATCCAAGAGATTTGTCTCTTTTAAGCAGAGTGGGTGCGATGACATTGTGAACCTCCAAGTGTGGGCGCGCGTACGTCTTAAACAGGGTTAAAAATAATTTCGGGGTGACAGCACCATAAAGTGGAGAGTATCATTTGCCTTGGTTGAGTCCCCTACATAGTTCGGACTCGTGTGGAGGCTTTCTGTGGTTATTAAACCGAGATCGCGCTCTGAGGAGACATTAGGGGGCGGACTTCCATTGAGGGTATAGATCGTTTGCGTCGTATGAGGCAGAATATGCATGACGTGGTACTTTGGTTGGTTGAGTTTTAAACCGTTTTTCACTGCCCATTCCTCAATAGATGTAAGGTCCTTTTGAAACACAGTCGAATCCTCTTCGCTTCTACTGGATCTCCTGATCTTCGCATTGTCTGCGTAGATCAATGTCGGTCGTTAATAAATATCAGAAAGAGAAGTGGGCCTAGGATGGTCCCCTATGAAACTCCTGATGTGGATACTAGCCAGCTCGCGTGAACTCTAATTTCCGAGGTACGAAACTTTCTATTCTCAAGGTATTTTCTGAGCCAAGATAGGAGTGGGTCAGTGAAGCCCATTTCCGCAACCTTTGCGATTAGGCGTGCGTGCGGTTCTGTGTCAGAGGCTTTTGTAAAGTCGAGAAATATTACCTGCACCGGCATTTTACGCTCCAAACAGGATATCCAACTGTCCTATGCAATGAGAAGATTAGATGCACATGACCTGCCTTTCCGAAACCCGTGATGAGTTTCATGGACCATTTTCTTCTTATTCATGTACTTCCTCATCTGTTCGTCCACCAGCCCTTCCATAACCCTTGATAGTATTGGTAGTAGTGCGACTGGTCTGTAACAGGCTGGGTCCATCCTATCTCCTCCTTTGAAGATTGAAGAGAGAGGAGCTTGTTTCCATTCAGATTGGATTCAGTGTGACTCCAGGTCATATATCGGGCTTCCGTACACTGTATCAAGACTGTGGGGTGAAGTTTGTCACAATCTGGATGTAGAATATATTTTGAAGGTTTTGTTTTTTGAAAAATCCCTCCATGCGTATGAACCTACACTGTTCGAGCCGGAGTGAACTGCAAGAGTAGAAAATCCAGAACAGTTCAAAAGGATAATTTTGGAGAGGAACCTCCGGATTTTTTGCCGCATCAATGTTCAAAAACGATAAAAGGAGGAAGAATCCCTTGGAATTTTTATCGCTTACAATCTCAAAACAATACCTGGAAGAAGAACCTTTGGATTACTTATCATTTACTTCTTTTAAACTGTATTTAGGAAAGACGAACTTTTGGTCCTTTTGGATTTCTCATTGACGAAGCTTTACCGGTGAAATTTTATATTTGGTCTTTATTATTTCCTTTTGCGTTGAATTTCAATTAATCATTAGTTCTCGTAAGAAACCATCACGAAGAGAGCTTTAGTCCTTGAAGAATCGCGGGATATGAGGCAAGTCCCTTATGAAACTTCATTTTTAAAGGGTTCACTCTCTAGTAAGGCCGATATTATGCTTAGTACTTATTGTTGTAATTCATCGTTACGGGGTACTAAGGAACGATGTTTGGACGAGGACTTAGAGGTATATGGGAAGGATTTGAGGCCTAGGACACCGGTAGTCGGATTAGAGTTGCCAAAGGTGGAACTCCCCTTCTTCGATGGCAGATTAGATTCGATTACTTAAGGTTTGTAAAACAATTCGATACATTTATAGAACCTAGAGTTATTGATGACAATCTTCACTTATTGTACTTAATCCACTATTGCAAGGGAAAGGCGAGAGCTGCGATTGAGGGATGTCTTATAATGGAACCCCACGCAGAATATAAAATGGCTAAGGTGATTCTAAAGCAGCTTTTCGGACAATCGCAGGTAATCCATCGTGAAACTTTGTAAGACCTGTTTAGATCTGGGAATGCTGATTACAACGACCCAGAGCAATTGTTGAATTTGGCAATTAAGATGCAGAACGTTGCTCTGACTCTGGAACAATTAAATTGTACAGCGGAACTAAACTCTCTAGTAACTTTGGAGCGAATAGTTAGGATTTTACCGCGGTCCATGCAAGTTCAATGGGCGGAATTATCCCTAAGATGGACTGAAGAAGATAGGGAGCCGACGTTCATCGAGCTTGCTGAGTTTGTATTAGCTCGAGCTAGAATAGCTGGTAGCAGATTCGATCGGCTCGTCAGTTGACTGGAAATAGGACGAGATGTGAAGATGAGCTGCCACCTTCAATCAAAACCTGCAAATATATCGACTATAAGACTCAATTGCAGCATTTGTACTGGCGATCACATGGTTTCTAAATCCCCCCAATTTTTAGAGCTTACCGTTCAAGACAGATGGAATCAAGTTAGAAAAAAGGGGATGTGTTTCATCTGTCTGAAGCAAGGACATAAGGCTAGTGGCTGTAAAACGACAATGCGTTGCAGTGTCGATAAGTGCGAGAGAAAACATCATGTTTTGCTGCATGAGGACTCGACTACCAAAAAGTTGGATGATAAACGTGATTCCCAGCATTGTTGCGGACTTACTAGGTCACTAAGCAGTCAAGTATGTTTAGGACTGATCCCAGTACGTGTGAGATTGGGAAAAGCCGAGATCATAGGATATGCTCTTTTGGATAACGGCTCTGACTCTACATTGATAACGTCAACTTGTGCGAAATCGCTTGGGTTGCCGGAAGACTATGAGTTAGCTGTGGTGCAAACTGTAGGTGGTGACAAAATGGCAGGGAGTACGAACGCCACTTTCGAAGTGCATTCTTTAGATCAGTCGGAACATATTGTGATCGAAGGGGCGATGATCGTATCTAGCCTACCAAGACATAAGCCCACGATGTCAGCAATGAAGAATCTAAATAAGTGGCCGCACTTAAATGATATACCAGTTGAAAGCCTAGACTCTGAAGACGTCTTAATGATCATCGGTTGTGACGTACCAGAAGCACATTGGGTGTTAGAGCAGCGGCTAGGTGGAAGGAAGGCACCGTATGCGGTAAAAACACTACTCGGATGGACTGTATTTGGACCAACATCATACCCGGAATATGTAAAAAGAGTTGTGAATCATATTAGTAGAGTGCAAGTTTTGGAGGACCAGATACGTAAGCTGTATGATGTGGAGTTTGCTGATGTCTATTCTAGTGACAAGTCGGTGTCTGTAGAAGACCAGGTAGCTCTTGAGATCGTGGAGAGAGGTACACACTTCGTCGACGGACATTTTGTAGTTCCAATACCATGGTGACAGGACCCGTCACTCTCAACCGGATAAGTTGAGAGTGTTCCTGGACTGTGCTGCTAAGTTTGCTGGGATCTCCTTAAACGATATGATCTATCAAGGGCCGGACATCACCGCTGATCTGGTAAGCATACTATTGCGTTTTCGCAGGGAAGCAGTAGCGGTATCGGCAGATGTTGAGGAATTTACAGGTACATAGTTAGTTTGATAGGTCATATCCATGTTGGAGGGCGGGTAGGTGTACTGCTGTAAGTCTTACTCGTTCTTCCGGTGTGGATTCGGGGGTGAGAGTGAACCCTAAATTGAAGTGTCAGAAAGGGCTTGTTTTACATGGAGGGATTTTGCGGGCCGGTGTAGAATCTATTTTGAAGGTTTTGTTTTTTGGAAAATCCCTCCATGTATATATATTTGTGTTATGATATGACTGACTCTTTCTGTTGACATTTTGGTACTCTAATTGATTCCATTTCGAGATTTTATCATTGTATATTGTTATTATTTCTATATCTTGTACTTATATTGAAGTTTTTATGTTTCCTTCTGAACTGTACATATGTTGTTTAAATTTGATATTTAATATGGCTACAGCCATATTTGGATTTGATACTCTAGTAGTAACGGACTGGAATCTCTTGTTCTTCCAGAAACGGAACCCATTGTGGTAACTGGAAGCTCGAAGGTGTAATATCGTTTTGAATCATCGTGTTTTTGGTCCCTGACTGGGTGAACGCGTATGAACCTACACTGTTCGAGCGGGAGTGAACTGCAAGAGTAGAATATCCAGAGCACTGGTTACTTTCCTTTGCCTAGGGATTTAAATTTTTCAAGTACTAAGTCAGGAGTGATGCGGATATTCCGTAAGCAGTCAGCTGGCTATGGGTTGGCGTTGTTGTTGTTCTGTTCCCTGTTCTCTCATGCGTTTATTCACCAGTAATTCTGTCACCTTCGACAGTAATGATAGTAATTCAATTCATCTGTAACATTCTCGATCCTTCCTATCCCCTCTCATAAAGACTGGATGCGGATCTGAGGTTTCTTAGTACTAAGCCAGCATTAAGTCAGATATTCCTTGGGTCATCAGCTGGCACTAGGTTTCAGTGTTACTCTGAGCTTGTAGGAACCTGGCTTATCTTGTCGGTGAAGATCTGAACTCTCTTTTAATTCTTTGCACAATTACCCTGGATTTTAGGTTTTATCTTATTCATGACCCCAGAAGATGTTTCGGTTTCACCTGGAAATGTCTCCCATCTCTTCAAACTTTAACTCTGTATCTGTTTTTCAATGTCAAGTTAGAGCTACAATCAGAATCCTTCAAAGAGACCTTCCACTCTTACCGGGCACTCCATTTCACCTGTAACGGGCGTTCAGTGCCTTGCTTGACCCTCGATCGCTTTTTTTCTGGGTGCGTGACTGGTCTGAGGATAGAACCCTGAATGATGTCTCTGATTGTTCCCCAGTAATCGTCTACTGATGACATATCATTCTCGTGGCTGTGGGGCGCATAGATGATCTCTCATGGTCGTGTAGTATCCCCAAGTGTAGTAAAGGTGAGCCACATTTTCGTATCCCCGTAAATTTTCGTTTATGACCATATGAAAGATCACTGCACCACGGCCACCACTTCCTATTGGTGTGTGGACATGGACGTCCTTGACAAGAAGCTGATCAGGGACTTCCGTCTTTTCTCCATCCAGTAGCGTCAAACATGTGTTCAGTCAGTGCAGAAACTTCTGGTATCATACCGATAAAACAAGAATCGAGCTCAAATTAATCGACAGGTTTTACTAGCTCGTGAAAAATATATTGGATATTGAAAGGACATTGCGAGCCAGTTTTTCTATTGCGTCACATTGTCTGAAGCCGACATTCGTAATTCAGTCGAGATGGATATGCGAAAGGAAACATCAGACAGACTTTATGCTGCGAAAGAGTGGGGAAGTAAGCTCTCCGAAATACTGCTGGACCACTATCTTAGGCTATATTTTTTCAAAAGCCATGAAGTCCAGTGAGGAAGCTGTTAGGAAAATTACTGATCAAATAGATTTGTCTGAAATCAAGTCACTTGTAAGTGATGTAACAGCTTCGGTCAGACAGGCCTAATTTTTTGTCAGTTTACTTCACTGCAGCTTACAATTTTTCGTCTGTTTATCCATACGTTTTCCATTCATAAGAATTTTATTAATCATAGTCATATACTGTATTTACGTGTTCGGATTTGTTGATCTAACACAGTTTGCACCTTCACTTCACTACTAGATTGTTTAATAATTCACTCAAGTCGTTGATAGGAGTATCCTTTTAGCTCGGATGATATTCACTCGCATTGTTTGCATTCTGTTCTCATGAATCATGTTCTTCTCTAAGTTTTACTGCTATCTGGATGTTTATCTTATAACTCATTTCCACCGACAAATTTACGTGAAGTATGCATTTTTACCCCACTGAATTCCTCAACAAGTCATTTTAACTGCCGTGCTAAATATCGCCTCTGACTGAAACCATGAAAGAGCTCTAAAAGGTACTTTCTGTGGTACGGCAGAGTTATTTTCTTGTTTAATTCCAGTTCCATTCATCGTCTAGGTCGTTTCGGACAAGAATAACCGAGACTGGTTCATCGTGTCGATCATGTGTACAGGGAGGAGGGGAATCTCGATAAGTTTTGGTCCATAATGTGCGCAGTTGTGTATCGTAGAATTAACAACACTATCACACTTTGTTTCTTTTCTAGTTATTGAATGTCCGCATTCACACAGAACGGTCGCCCTGAATGATATGCTACCCTATAAGTATTGGATTGCTACATCGATTTTCGGGATGCTATCCTCCCCCTCGAAATGCAAAATAATTTTGCAGAATTGGCTTTCATCGACACCTGAACTAGTGGTAGGAAATGAAGTAGTTGAGCGTGTTTACTACTTCACTTATTTTGTGAGTCTCATCAGTGCTGGCGGCTTGGTGTGTAACGAAATCTCAGCGCGGATACAAAAGTCTCGATTGGCTTTCGCCAACTGGCGTCCGTCTGCTAACCAAAGGACGAGTATACTGTGCGGCAGTCCGCTCCGTCCTACTTTATAGCTCTGGAATATGGCCGGTAAAAGTAGGGGATATTCGTAGGTTACTAGTGTTCGGTCATCAGTGTCTCCGAAACAATACTGTTGTAAGGAATGAGTACTAGGTAAGGGTGGCAGATCAATAGATGAAATATTGAAACTTCATCAGATGAAGTGGTTGGGACATGTGATATGATCGCCCGACCATCGAATGGCTCAACAAGCACCCAGTCAACCAGTTACAGCGTAGAACTGCGTACGTACCTACCTTCAGGTCGCCATGCCAAATTAGCACAGATGGGCAACTGTCAGTTCAAATCCCATGGTGGTAGAGATGAATGAAGTATTAACAGTAATCCAGAAGGTTAGGATCCGAAGATAGTATTCAATAAGTATAATTTAGTGAGATAGCTTAAGAAAACGAGAAAAGTAGAAGTGATAAGGAATTCAGAAAATTAGAATTTGAGCGAACACAAAGAATGGATGCACCTACGCCATTGCAAACGATTTTGAGCCATGTCGTCCCAGGTCTTCGACCATCGGTTACTATTGTCTTGCCGAACACAACCAGGTAGTCCAGACTCACCAACATGACTCAATCCAGTTGTCCGTGACTTCATGGATTTCTGCCATATTTTGGTTCGGCCGAAAACAGCAGTACTAACTCGGTTGTCTCAGCATACACGAGCAATGCTTCGAAGACATCTATGACCGAATACTAATAACCTACGAATATACTCAACTCTTGCCGGCCATGTTTCGAATCCATAAAGTAGGACTGAGCAAAGTGATGTGCAGTACAGTCGTCCTTTGGCTAGCAAACGGATATCTCGCCTACGCCACAAGTGATACAAGTTGGCAAAAGCCAAACGAACTTCTTTATCCGTGCTTAGATTTCTTCAGTCACCAGGCTATTAGCACTGATGAGACTCCAAAATAACTGCATTGGTCAATCGCTTCACTCACTATTACTAGTTTGGGTGCCAATGCAAGCCAATCCTGAAGCAGCATCTTGCATTTTGACAGGTAGGATCGCATCCCGAAAATGCTTGCGTTGTTGCTTATGGCATCGGCATATTCTAGGTCAACAAGTGTGTCTCCTGGTAGAAGATCCTCTCCTGAAAAGTCAGACGAAAATAATTTTAAGTCTAAAAGCATGTCTACGACAAAGTTAAACAAGAAGGGAAAGAGCGGACAACCCTGAAGGACGCCATTTGAGGTAATCAATTCCGATGACAATTTACCATATGCTCTCACTCGACCAGTAGTGTTCAAGTAAATATCCTGTATAAAGTTAATGCACTTCCTCGGCACATCTTTCAATGAAGGATACTGCCACAGGACCTCACGAACAACAGGAAGACAACTATTGTCGGACGCCGAAATGTATGTCTGTGTTTTAGAACCTATCGTAGTGTGAATATCTGATCTATACAGCCACGTTCAGGTATGAAACCATCCTGGTTTTCTCGACTTCACGCTTAGTGAGCTCTAGTAAGGCGTTGAATTATTATTAAAGTCAATATCTTATACACTATGTTAGTTAGACTTGTTCCTCTGTGATTGTCACAAGAAGACTTTTGTCCTTTCTTATAGACTGGGACAATCAGTGAATGAAACCAGTCAGATGGTATTACGCTCAGTTCCCTGATTCTACCTAAGATCTCTGTCAATCTAGGTGCTTAAACTGGACCATCATCCCTGTAAATCTCAGGGGTAAGCCTTTCAGGCCCATTTGCTATTCCTCGCTTCAGTTTTTTTATAGCTTTTTCAGTTTCATTTAGAGTCGGAGTGCTTATATCGCTTTGTCATTAAGGTTGACTTGAGATCGTGGTCAACGGAAGTGTGACTGAAGGCCAGTTGAATCGACTCCCGAAGTGTTCTACCCATCGATCTAATCTCCTAGGTTGAGAATAAATAATGTGGCCATCCTTTTCTGAGATAGTTTCGATAACACATGGGTTCCTACTACCATATTCCTTGATAAGGCAGAACAGTTGCCTACTGTTACTTATCGCCGCTGATTTTTCCATCTCTAACTTTCTCTAACCACCACAGTTCGCTATCATTACGTAGGCTTTGTATCAGCCTGCGCTTAAGCTGATTTTACTCTTCATCATGTTCAGAGACAGGTGGGATGAGTTTCCGAGCATGTTTCAGCTCGGTAGATGCTACTGAAATCCATGGCTTCTTCCTAGCCACATGGTTTACCTTACTAGCAGATATCGTTGCTTTTTTGGTATCATTCCAAGCTGCCTCCGGATGGAGATCACTTACGTGGTTGCCATGACCTTTCATATGTTTACTGTCTCTCTAATTTCCTTTTCATACGCACATCTTTGCTTAAATCTCACATCGTAACATACGTGTTATCCACATCTATTCAAACTGCTGGCAATGTTTTTCGTCTAAACAGAAACATCCAAATGATAATCATTAACGATATAGTTTGTTCAAATTAACCTTTTTTGCCAGCGATTTCCAAGCTTGTCTATCAAGAATTACTATTTATTAGTCTGAGTTTTCGGGCTGGTAAGATGCATGAATTCAACGGTTATTAATAGATACAGTACAATTAGAGAATGTGACCAAATGACGTGAACATACAAATAAGCAGCTATTGAAGAACAAGGAATTCCCAGTAAGATAGACAGTTTTTTATTTAATAAGATAATTTGCTGACATAAAAAGTGTCAAACACAAAAATGCACTTAATTCAAATTTATTTGAAACGTAAGTGACTGGGCGATACAGATTTTATAAATCACACAAGTACTAATAAGATTAAAACCTGTTGCGTTTAATCGTTGCCTGAAATATCGTTTACATTATTCCTGCTCTTGTTTAATATTACTGTTAGCCAGGATAAAGTTGAAACAAAATTAAGGAAAGTAACCATAGTTATTGAGTCATCGACACGGAGTATCAAGGCCGTCCTCAAACCTTTTTTTTCTGGTTTGATCCCTTTACCTCCTCCGAAGTTCATTCAGTTGACGTGCATATATTAGCATATTCTATGCTTCACGTTTTTCACAACTTTAACTCCCTTAATAGTATTCGATTGTCAACTGAAACCCAGTTATTACACTAACTTCCTCGCATAATATTATATCACATACAGACAGCTAACTTATTGTTTTTATAAGTGAATCATCCTAAACCACCAACTTTTATTGAATTTCATTTTATACTTGATTTTTCGTAAAATTGTTAAATTAATGTCTATTAAATTAATGAGTTTCTTATCTTTCTATAACTGAGGTCCCACTCATACGCGAATTTGAACAAGCTCAAGCTGACTTTGCTGTAACACATCAAAATAAGAATGACGAAGCAATTCGTTTTCGTTCATCTCTATCTGAACTTCCACCATGGCACCCTGATATTTGTGGATTAAATGATTCTAATGCTTTATCTGCTTTGAAAGAACAAATTTTAGCTTTAAGTCAAAATCCGAATAATTTTCTTATTTCTCCTCCTGAAGAAGCTCAACTCAAATGGACTTCACCAATACCCGAAAGTTTATTAAGTGAAGCTCAGATCCTCTTAAAAGAAGATCCTAATTTAGGTTCTATAAGATATCAACTTGTTCCTAGCAAGTAAGTTGTTCATACTAATTGGTCTGAAAGTTAACCCTTACAAATCACTTATCACGATGTAGTGCATTACTGACTATCTTAAAAGTATAGGTTTTAATATACTGGTCATTGTGTTTCACAAAGAAAGGTGATGAAGTTGACTTAAAGTACCCCTTATTAGCTTCAAATAATAATCTAAGTAAGAGGGCTTAGTTATTTTGCATTTCTGATTTCTTCACTTCATCTCTTTACTGAGACTATGACAAAGTATTTCGCTAAAAATATGTTATAATCACAGTCAATAGATTTTACTGATTCATTTTTATTGGTTATTTGAATCTTCCCACTGATATTTAGCACTCTCTTTTAGTATGCGTATTCTGTGCACATTGCCTCGATATTGCCATAAAACCAAAAGCGGAGATGGATATTGGCCAGCAGTGGAATCAAAGCTGCGTGCTTCGTTTTACTTGAGACTCCTCAGCTAGATGTACCTGCTGATCATTTGCAGTCCTAAACATCAGTGGGAACATTGAAATAACAAATGCAAATGAATTAAATTTCACTTCGTTGCGCAAGCCAGAGTTTATTAGAACTCGGTGGCTAAATGGATCCATCTCTGCTTACAATAATCCTGCTGATTATTTTTGTTTCCATATTAATTCATTTCTGTTGACTGAGTATGCCTACATAGTTTATTGGTTGAGGCGCCCGACTTCCAGCCCATGTGTCTCATATTCAAACCCTACTCATTCATTTCAGTTTAGGCAGGTCTGATAATATCACTGGCTCTCGTAGTGGATTTCAAGTCTGACTACATGAACTTGTATATGATAAATAATATTATTGTGTGATACATTTAAACGAATGTGCCTAATTTATATTAGTGAATCAAATCTTTGTGACCAATGGTTTCGCGGATATTTGTCGTATGAAGATCGTCCTTACAATATTATAATATTCAAACCTAATAGTAAGTAAATAAATGATGCAAGTGCCTATATGTGAACTGGGCTTTTCATAACATATCTTCCATTCAGGGACCAGAGATAATTTCCATCACACTTGACAGACAGACAGATACAACACAGAACTTCGCATGTACGTACATCAGTTCAGGTTGCCATACCGCATTAACACAGAGACGCAACTGTCAGTTCAAATCCCATAGTGGTAGCGATAGTGAAAGTATTAGCAATAATAGAGAAGATTAGGGTTCGAAGATATGATTCGAGCAGTATAATTCAGTGTAAGTCCTCCTAGTGTTTATGAATTTGAAAAGGCTATAGGAAATCTGAAGCGAGAGAGAGCAGGAGGACCCGATAGATTGACCCCTGAGGTTTTCAAGGATGGTGATCCAGTATTAGCAGCTAGATTGACTGAAATATTGGGTAGAATCTGGGATCTGGACGTAATACCATCCGAGTGGTCTCAATCACTGTTTGTCCCAATCTATAAGAAAGGACTAAAGTCTTCTTGTGACAATCATAGGGGAATCAGTCTAACTAATATAGTTTCTAAAATATAGAGAGGTGTACCAAAGAAGTACATTAACATCATACAAACTCTCTACTCGAACACCACTGGTCGAGTGAGAGCTTATGGCGACCTGTCATCGGAATTCTTTACTTCGAGTGGTGTCCGTCAGGGATGTCCACTCTCCCCATTCTTGTTTAATTCTATCATAGACATGCTCCTAGAAATAACCTTGTCGTCGTCTGAATTTTCAGGAGTACACCTTCTACCAGGTTGCTCGCTCATTGACTTAGAATATGCCGATGACATAGTCCTACTTGGTGAAGACGCTGACAAAATGCAGAGACTTCTGACCACCCTAAGCAACAATGCAGGCTTATTCGGGATGCGATTCTCGTTGTCGAATCGCAAAATGTTGCTTCAAGATTGGGTTGCATCGGCATCTGAACTAGTGATAGGGAGTGAGGCAGTTGAGCACGTTGACCGCTTCATTTATCTGGGGAGTCTCATCAGTGCCGATGGCCCGGTGACTGACGAAATCTCAGCTCGGATACAGAAGGCTCGTTTGGCTTTTGCCAACTTGCGTCACTTATGGCGCAGGCGAGATTTCCGTTTGCTGACTACAGTTCGAGTGTACTGTGCAACATTTCGCTATGTCCTACTATAGGGATGCGAAACATGGCCAGTCAGAGTAGAGGGCATTTGTAGGCTATTGGTATTCGATCACAGGTGTTTTCGAAACGTTGCTATTATATCCTGTGACCGTCGTGTGAGCAGTGCTGTCTTCAAGAAGCGAATACTAGGTAGGGATGGCAGATAAGTTGACGAAGTTTTGAAAGTCCATCAGTTGAGGTGGTTGGGACATGTATTACGTGTGCACAACAAACGACTGCCTCGACGAGCTATGCTTTGTGGTGTAGTTGTAGGTTGGCAGAAGGCTAGTGGCGGCCAAACCAAAACATGGCAGAAATCCATGAAGTCACTAACAGGTGGATTGTGTGATGTTCGTAGATGTAGGCTACTTGGTTGGCGTCCGCGAGACGAAAGTCACCGATGGTTAGAGACCTTGAATGAGGTGGCTCGAAATCGTTTGCAATGGTGCAGGTGCATCCACTCTTTGTGTTCTCTCAAGTCTCAATCTTCTGGATTCGTCAACACCCAAACCTTTGTCTTTCTAAACTTATCTCACTGAATTATACTTCTTGAATATTGTCTTCAAATCCTAATCTTCTCCATTAGCAGTAATGCTTTTACTATCTCTACCACTATTGATTTTGAATTGACAATTGTGTCTCTGTGCTAATGTGGTATGGCAACTTGAACTGATCTACTTACGTACGAAGTTCTACGTTGTAACTACCTGACTGACTGTATAATTTAGTAAGATAAGGTTACAAAGAGAAAGATGGAGTTGATGAGTAATTCAGAAGGATAGAATTTGAGAGAACACAAAGAATGGATGCACTTGCGCCATCGCACACGATTTGAGCCATGTCATTTAAGGTCTCTATCCATCTTACTTGTCGTGAATGTTACTTAGAAATTATAAAAGACGATGGATAGTCATCATATGTGTTTTTCTTGTTTCTGTGATAAAATATATTATAAAGTTGAATGACTTGGTTTTTCAATTCTCAATATAACTGATACTTTGAAGTTAACGATATTCCAAACACTTATGTGGGTTACGATTCCAACCAAACGATCGGTAATCAATGAATACTTGTTCAAATTGCCGCGACAATTTTCTAAACACTTAAATTCGACCATACACAAAATTTATTATATGTAACTGAGATGTTGATAAACATCTCACAGTTCTGGACTGACTGATGTTTCCTTATTAATATGTTTTATAATTTTAATTTAATATCGTACACTGTTGCCCTTCATTTTTTATTATAGAATAAGCGAAGATATATTTTGGAGAAATTATTTCTATCGTGTATCCCTTATACAACAATCTGCCAGTCTTTCCGCTGTAATGGACAGTGAACACCAACAAAACAGCTGTAACAACAAAAATAGCAATAATAATGGTGGTATTACAAGTGATAACAGCGTATCGGACACTGACTTTGTATGCATTGAACAAAGTATGTATATTCTACGAAATGATTGTACTGCATTTTCTCTTAGCTTGATAAAATCCTATCTCAATCAGTTATGACAGTGTGGATTCCTTTCGAGTTTCAAAAAATTGCTGTTTTGTGATCAGACTCAACTCAATGATTCATTTCGTTATTATCAATTAATCTATGATATGTGGCCTAATGTTCATGTTTCAGTTTCTCTTCGTCACATAAGTGTTTGTTGTATGTTGAGTTTTCGAATGTGCCGAATGCGGCGCTGCTAAAATGTTTATATTTACCAAAGGATAACTATACCGCACAGGAGTTCGCTCTCTATAGCTTATTATTAACAAAAAAATTGAAACTAAGTTTCTAAACTACCGTTCGTTATTGCGTAATGCTAAAGCTACGTGTAAACTACTATTCAATGGCTAAAAGTACAAATGTTGATCGACTCAGGTAGTTAGGACATATATCACTCATACTTACTCACCGCCACCTACCCGTACATATTGCCGACTGAGAGGAGTAAGTTGGCGAGAACTGCAGACGGGAAAATTGATGTATGGCATCAGCCTACGACGGTATTGGCTGTTGGTCTGATTTGTACTGGTAGGTGATAAACTCATGGTTTGTTATACGCAAAATCTGTCGTTTATGATTGAAAACATTAATAAGTTACTGATCATACATAAAAATTACAGTACAATAACTCATTGAAAAAATTTGATATCTAGAATAAAGCTATAATATTGTGAAGAAAAGAAAAGAGAAACTGTATTTCTTATATTGCATTTTAATTGTGTTAATCTGCTCTCTCAGCTTTAACTTGATGTATTCCAAATGGGATCGATGCATATTCATTTCAAGTTCTACGTTGAGTGTGGTATGGTTGGCTTGTTTTTTGTATGATCATTAAGCATTTGCATATCTGAAGTGAGCTTCGTTTATAATCCAATAGAAACATTTAATATTTTGAAACATCGACACATAGATTGTAAAAAACGATGAACCAATAATGCAATTTTTACACGATAAATCTTCAATAATTAGAGGCTTTTTTCTCTACTTAGTATAAGGGGTAGCATAAAATGTTGGTATGATAACAATGTATGAATCGATACATAAAGTTAGTGAATTCATCTAGATAACTTGGAGGACCTGAGTAGTGTACTTAGGGCCCCGCTAAAGCCCTGGTACAACAGGCGATGACAAAATCCCAATCTTCCTCTCGAAAGGCTCTTATGCAACCAGGCGTGTATCGCCATTGTCAGAGAAGTCCTACTCACTCAGAGAACACAAAGTGAATCTCCGGCTCTTAGACTGAATTAGTGGGTACGGAGGAACCATCTAGGGAAGCTGAAAAACCCTGAATCCAAACCAATGGTGCACATGAGCTCCAAGATCCTGAGGGAACAAATGGCGTATGAACCTATGGCTACCATGGAATCGCATTTCCTAAGGTTGTTCCACTGCCTTGTGGATTAAACCTGTGTGTGGAAAGCTAGTGAAACAGCCCCTTGAATTCACCTGTTTCAGTCTGGGTATCCTGATAGTATACCAGTCCACACAAATTCATTGGTTTGTGTGGTGTTAGCCAGTCAGCTACAACGTAGAACTCCGTACGTACGTACATCAGTTCCAGTTTGCCGTGCCACAGTACAGAGAGAATTGTCAATTCACATCCCAAAGTAGTAGAGAAAGTAATATTATTGGTGGTAACAGAGAAGATTATGGTTCAAAGATTTGATTTGAGGAGTATAATCCAGTGAGGCAAATTCTAAAAGAGAACAACGGTTACAGGGATTCAGAAGATTAGAATTTGAGAGAAGACAAACAATAAATGCAACTACGCCATTTCAAATAATTTTGAGCCATGTCATTCAAATTTTCTAACAATCGGTTATTATCATCTCGCGGACTGTGTATTCTTTCTCATCATCAATACTTTGTTATTCATTATGTTCGTTTTATTTCGTCATTTCTGTTTCGTATAGTAAGTTGGGTTAACTCGCGTTTATGCAAGGTCACAGTCTGATTATAACTAACAGCTTTAGTCAAAGTATATATTTATAAGATTTTTTTATTTTAGAGTGGTACTAACAATTGTAGTTTATCTGAAATATTAAATAATTTATGAATAGTTTTCTGCTGACTCCACCTATTGATTCAGTATTAGAAATACTACAATATATTTGCACCATTAACTGTTTCAGTTTATTCGTTACTTTGTAACTTATCACTTCATCATAACCAACTATTGCAAAAAGGTGAGTTGTCATTCACATAATAACTAACTTGTCAGTTTTGTGTATGACTACGGGAATTCAATCTTCAAGCCTCATTTAACACAGATTGGTAAGTTTTTCTGAAGCACCTGTCGTTCGCAAATGCGATTCCAGCTTGCTACCTATTTTGGTTTCAGTGACTAGATAGTATTCCCTAGACATCACAGAACTAATGAAGTGTACATAAATGTTCTGAGTACATAAAGTTTCACAAATTTGTGAAAGAGTTATTTTCCTAAAGTTCAACCACTTTAATGAGGCATATGATTTTCACAAAGTTGTACATATACATATACAAAGTTGTGGTTGATGAAGTTTGGTGATAAACTCAACAGACAAGATTCATATGATCCAGTATGTTTGATGGGTTTTGTGCTTTGTTAGTTTCAACTTCGAAGAAATTATACGGTTTATACGTTACTCTTTTAATCTACAGATCCTGTTTGGTCTAAAATGAATGCAAATTTTGAAGAAAAGAAAAAATCGAATGTTGATTTAAATAATAGTAATAATAATAATAATAATCGGAAAATGAACAACTCTTCACTGAAGGTGAAAAAAACGTCGGACAAACCTTTAAAAATCTCTTCTACTTCGTCATCTAACGTGAATCCAGCAAACGCTTCAAGATGTTCACCAACTTTTATTTCAAATCACTCACCAAAGAATGATAGTTCTCATATTTCCTGTGAGTAATATACTTGTTTATAATATGATTGAATTCATTGATCTGTTGAAGGTTAGCTGTTGATTAACCTTCTGTCTAAAATGAGATTAATGGCTGTCATTGACGTGTATGTTAATAGGCTTATTATCTAATTTTCATAATTTCTCCAAATTTAGCGCGATCATATGATTACTATTATCTGTGATCTGCTGACAACATGTGAAACTTACGTGCTCAATCAAACTTCATATTATGTTTATTTCATAAGTAGTAACGGTTTGACTTATGCCGTTACTTTTGTCTTTATTACCTCTCTTGAGATGTAGAGTTCCTCACAATCTAATCAACAAACAGAGGAAAAGATGAGGGCAGATAGTCTTGTCTTATGCTAGTCTCCACCTAGAAAGCATCTATGAGCTGCAGCCTGATAACATACACGAGCGATTTAATTATGTTCATGTATGATTTCCATTGAAAACAGTTGGACTACCTAACTGATGAGATGCGTGATCAGTAGATTCTAAGGATTATTTAGAGGAGAAGATCAACCAATACTAAGTGTACATGTCAGTTGTTATTTGAGTAGTATGTAGTGTGAAGTTTTGAGTTCTAATCATTAAAGAAATTAAACTTCTGCGTTATAAAAATGGTTCATTCACCATTTATTTAGTTTACCCAGCCTAAATGTAGTCTTGCCATTCTGAATCAGTTGTGTTCTTGTGTACTTTAGTCAATGGTTTTGGTGTTCTTCACTTGAAGTCGGTTCAGCTTGTGATATGAGTGTCTAGTTTTAGTTGAATGCTACTAGCATTTTTTTTGTCAGTGGAAGCATTCATTATCTGAATATTTTTGAGAAACGCTGATCATGTCAAGATAAGCCTGAATGTAGGTAAAATACATCACACTGCATTTTAACTGATAAGGTTAAACCTAGGTAGTTTGATCTGATTACAAAGCTATTTACTAAGTAAAACAATCTTATTTATTGAATTTTGTCTGCTTATTCCTTCACTCGAATTACTAGTTTACTTACATCAATAACACTATTATCTGAGTCCCAGCTACAGTATATATACCCCATTCAAATATTTATGTCTTCAACCTGTCCAGCCAGAGCACAGCCATGTGTGTGTGTGTCCTATATTTTGAAAAACTCACATGAGACTATCCACATTAATGACAAGACTCTAACGTATCACCAAAACTGACAAGTCTTAATCTGTACAAAACGAGGTCGTTTATTGTACAGTACTAACAGTGATAATAAGTATATAACTATTTATTATTATTTGTAATTGCTAAACAGTAAAACGTAATTCAACGTGATTCTGTTGTCATTCATTTCTAGCTAAAACATTGGAAGAACAATTAGAAGAAGAGATTGCTCGTGAAGTTGACGAACTTGTATTCACTAAATCAGAAAACAATTCCGCTAATCCAAATAATACTCATAATATTGATGGATCTGTGGCAGATGAAATTGATGAAGAATTAGAACTGGAAATATTAGCTGAATTAGAAAGTGGCAATACTATCAGTCATCATGCTAATCATTGTCGTCCTAACAGTACTGACAATGTCAAAGAAGCTAGTAGCATTAACTGATAGCTTTTAAGTAAGAGAAGTTGTACTGGACGAAAACGTGTTCAAAATTAATCTAAAACATTTTTGATTTCTTTTATATCGTAGAAATTTGAAGAAGAAATATTTTTCTCTTTAATATAAACGAAGAGCGACAAGCTGGAATAACCTTTAATATATATACATTTTAATTTCTCTATGTAATTTTTCTCTTGACGAAATGAAAGAAATATTGATATTCTGAACAGTTGATGTTATGTAGGTGTGTGTAGTTGTGTTGCCTATTTACTTGTTTCCCTCCTAATTTGTTCACTATGTGCGTCTTTCGTGTACGCTTCACCATCTTTCGTTTTACTCTTCATGCACATATCGATTAGTGATCACGTTACTATTCTACTTGCTTATTTGGTTTCTTTTCTCTCAAGTAATCACTTATTTTCAACATAAAGTTACTAATTTTCGAAGTGTTTAACTGTGTTGGAAGATTTAGTTTTTTTTTTGTTTTTATTGATAATGTGATAAGTTTGAGGCTGAACCAGTTGTTTGGATGAGTTAAAATAATTGTAGATATCAGTGAGATAGTAGTTAGAAAATAAGAATTCATTAGGGGAAAAAGTCTGGTAGAAGGATGGATAAGTACCAGCTCCTTATGCAGCCGGGTACCACAATATACACAGATGACTGGAAGAAATGGATACCTATCTAGATTACGTTACGTCTGTCGAGTAGTCGTTCACAGGAGACATTTCATAGACCCCACCACAGTAGTGCACACAAAAAAATATGCCATGTGGTCGAGGCTAAAACAGTTTCTGAGACCTTACTACGGCTCCAGAGGTCGACTGTTGTGGAGTCCAATGGATGAGTCCCTGTACCTTATTTATTACTTTTTTTAGGACCGCAGAGCTCTTTCATAACCCTTGCGAGTTTTTAAGCTATTTTAAAGTTCAAGACACTGCAAAGACATATTTCTTGGTATGTGTTTAGAGCATCTGTTATTGAATAAGCACTTCAACTGGACATTAGGTTGTGCTATAAAAATGCTTACTCCAGAAAAATAAGCCTGTAGAATTCACTTACGAAAATAAATCTGTATGGTGGCAGATCTTATTTGATTCGTTTATCCACTAGACTGAATGACTAGATACCGAGTTACTACATCGCAACTTGATTGACATAGTTCAGTCGATGTACAAATGATACGTCATTGTATTGTAGCGCATAAGGAATACATATTTACGGTTTGGCATAAATTAGTACATCACTTCGAATTGCCATATTCCATTAGCACGGAGAGATGAAATTTTTAGACCAAATCCCACAGTATTAGAGGTAGTAACAGGATCAGTGGTATTCATCATCGCGAATACGATTCCAGAAAAATTAGTGAAATAAAAACTGAAAAATTGAACCTAGTACTTGTGCAGTTGAAAACGATTTTGAGTCATGTAATTCAAAGTTCGAGACTG